CAGGGAGACAAAGAACATACTAGAAACGCAAAGAGACTAATCCAGAATTCACTAGCAAGATATAGAAGGGTATTGAGAGATTAGGTCACTTTCAAATCAAACCTTTCATGAGGGTGTTTTAGAGAGCTCAGGAGGGTTTCAAGGAGGAAGAGATAAGGTTTTAAGAGACGGGGGAAAATCTGAAAATTTGTCGATCGCGAATTCACTTAAGCGGCCATTTTTTAGCGTGTTTTAAAAGACGACGCTTGTTAATGAGAGATAAGGTTTTCAAAGACGGGGGAAAATTTGAAAATTTGTCGAGCGCGAATTCACTTAAGCGGCCTTTTTTTAGCGTGTTTTAAAAGACGACGCTTTTTAAAAAAAACCGTCATCTTTACATATAATAGACGACCATTTTTAAAAAAAACCGTTGTCTTTACATATAATAAACAACCCTTTTTAAAAAAAAACCGTCATCTTTACACATAATAGACGACCCTTTTTTAAAAAAAAAACTGTCATCTTTACTTCATAATAGTCGACCCTTTTAAAAAAAAACCGTCATCTTCACATATAATAGACGACCCTTTTTAAAAAAAAACCGTCATCTTCACATATAATAGACGACCCTTTTTAAAAAAAAACCGTCATCTTTACTTCATAATAGACGACCCTTTTAAAAAAAACCGTCATCTTTACTTCACAATAGACGACCCTTCACTACTACAAAAATTGAAATAGACGACGGTAATCCACCGTCGTGTATTTGGTTTTTCAACCGTCGTAAAATCGACCGACATCTTTTGATGCATAAAACCACGACGGTAAATCCCCGTCATCTATTATTTGTAAAGACGACGCTTTTACTCAAAACCGTCGCCATGACATCAAATAGACGACGCTTTTACTAATAGACGACGGTTTTTAGTAAAAGCGTTGTCTATTTGATGTCAAGGCGACGGTTTTTTTTTAAAAGAACTGTCGTCTATTTGATGTAAAGACGACGGTTTTTGTGAAAAAAACTGTTGTCTATTTGATGTAAAGGCGACGGTTTTTTTCAAAGAACTATGTTTTATTATATCCAAAGACGTTGGTATTTGTTAAAAAGCGTCGTTGATTGTATATAAAAAAAGACGTTATGATATTAAAAGTGGTCATTGATAATATATATAGATGACGATTTTTCCAATAAAACCATTGTTTTATTATCTTTAATTGGAAATAACGGAGCTCAACATTAAAAATATCAGTCACAATAAAATAATTCATTGCATTAAAAAAATATCAACATTCTTCCACCAAATTCACAAGCTATCCAAATTTGAACAAATTCAAATCCAAGTCTAGACATACATCTCTCTCAAAAACAAACCTAGATGACTCTACAACCCAACCTAGATAGGTCAATTGATCCAAAAACATAAAAATAAGATTCACCACAGTTGAATGACTGCAAGCTTCTGCTCTTCTGGTGGAACCTTCAAAAGCAGGCATATCATCCATCTGGTTGCAACTTCAACTCTTTTACCAACTGTTTACCAAACTATGTGATTCATCTGACCTGCACCACAAAGAGATTCATACCTCTCCATGAATTTCTGGCTCAGAGAGTGGAAGGTTAAGAAACATTCTTCCCTACCGAGCCAAACTAGCAAGAAGAGTCAAATTTATCTTAGTATCCCAATCCTTTAAGTATTCCCCACTGGTAGATCCTTTAAATTAATACTCATCACTGCTTAAAATGAATATAAGACAAGATTTTAAGTTTAGTCAGGCCATGAGTAGAGAAACCAATGTTGTTACCACTAAACAGCAATGTACAAAGTCAGCAATCTTAAATTAATAACCAAAAATGAAATACAAGTCTCCTATAACAAGAGAAGTCATATGAAAGTTTATGTGAAAACGGTACAAGAGCACAATTGGATTTTTTTTTTTTTTACTCTACTCTGTTAATAGGATTAAAATTTACTTACATGAGGATAAATAGAGATTGACAAAGATATCGTTTGGCCAGTAATCAGATGTACGTTTAAATGATTTCACCAAGCTGACAGGAAAAACATAATAAAAATAATAAGTCACCTGCAGCTAAATTATCACAAGTCCACTGCTAGATGAAAATACATCAAATATAAAAGTCCAGCTTCAATAAATTTTTACCCTTTCAATTCCACTTTGGAATTTGACTCAAAATAGTAAAGGGATAAATATAGGCATGCGAATTAAATGGCTTAATATATTAAACAAACAAAATATGGCTACAAATACCACACAAAGCAGTAGATAAAAAAATTGCAATAATCAGTGCAAGAATCAAAAAGTCAGAAAGCATAAGCTCACCAATAAGACTAAAGAAAAAGGCAGCATGAAGATGAAAACCAAATAGCCAGAGATCCAAGATTTCTTATCATAGGAGCTCTGTCAAGTTAAGTGAAATGTTCAGTCACAATAAAATGAGCAAGTAACCCATATTAATAGCATCATTGAGCAAATATCATTCAGACTTCAGAGTACTAGAGACTTCAAATGAGATAAATACCAAACAAAAACAAACCAAGAAACAAAAACCATAGAATTCTATAACCAGAATAGGAAAGGCAATGGACCTATAATGTTAAAATCTTAAAGCATTTCATCATTTTCTATGAAAAACATACAAATTCTGAAAATTGGATAAGAAAGTAAGACATGCCGACTAAAGAAAATAACAAATCAATAAATTCCAATAAAATAGTGAGCATATATAACATACCATATTTATAAAAAACCCAAATGAGAAACTCACTTAAATCCCACGAAATTAGCACAATACATGAACAAACATATATATATATATATATAAAGACCGATTTCCATAAGTCTTTCTGGATCGAGTCGCTGAGTTTGATGAGCAAGTTGAGTGCCTGAGAGCGAGATCTTCTTTGAAGAAAGTGAAGGTCGAGATCTTCACCGCATCCAAACATCTCTTGATTCTCAGATCTAGAACCTCCCTCTCCGTCTTGTGGATTTGTGAGCTAGAGAGAGAGACAACAAGAAAGAGAGCGCCGGCAAGAGAGAGCCATCGAGAGAGGGCCGTCGAGAGAGCCAGAGTGAAGATAGCTAGAGAGTTAGCGCGATATTAAAACCAAGATGGCGACCTCAGTGACCTGGATGGCGAGATCTGTGACCTGGATGGCTCGATCTATGACCCGGATGGCGAGCTCGTAACCAAGATGGCGCAATGGAGATGGTGTTTGAGAGAGGGAGAGAGGGTTTTCTGAAAGGGTCGTGAGAGTGAGTGTTTGAGAGAGAGAGAGAGAGTGAGCTAGAGAGAGACAACAAGAAAGATAGCGCCAGCAAGAGAGAGCCATCGAGAGATAGACGACGAGAGAGAGCCGTCGAGAGGAAGATGGAGAGGGAGCCATCAAGAGAGAGACGGAGAGAGGAAGATGGAGAGACAGAGAGCCATCGAGACAGAGAGTCGTTGAGAGAGCCAGAGTGAAGCTAGCTAGAGAGTTATCGCGATATTGAAACCAAAATGGCGACCTCAGTGACCTGTACGGTGAGATCTGTGACCTGTATGGCGAGATTTGTGACCTAGACGGCGAGCTCGTAACCAAGATGGCTTTTCAGAGATGAGAAAGGGAATTGAGAGTGAGAGAGAGAGAGAGAGAGAGAGAGAGCGATTTCTGAAAACGTCGCGAGAGGAGTGTTTGAGAGAGAGAGCTGTCCGTGAAAATTTAAAACTTAAATGAAATTTTGGTCCAGCGCGTTTTAAAGCACGACGGTTATATAAATGAATGGTCGTAATTTTTATCTCCACCTTTTAAAGCACGACGGTTCCATTTAGAACTGTCGTGGTTTGTTTTAAAAACAAGAAGCTTTTTAGTTTTACTGTCGTCTAATACGGGTCGTGGTTTTCCATAATTGTAGTATTGTTTAAAAAAAAACCGTCATCTTTACATATAATAGACGACCCTTTTTAAAAAAAAACCGTCATCTTTACTTCACAATAGACGACCCTTTTTAAAAAAAAAATCGTCATCTTTACATATAATAGACGACCCTTTTAAAAAAAAAAGCTGTCATCTTTACTTCACAATAAACGACCATTTTAAAAAAAAAACCGTCATCTTTACATATAATAGACGACCCTTTAAAAAAAAAAACTGTCATCTTTACTTCACAATAGACGACCCTTCTTTAAAAAAAAACCGTCATCTTTACATATAATAGACGACATTTCTTTCAAAACAACCATGTCTTAACCAAAAAAAGAACACTTGATTTTTAAAAGACGACGCTTGTCATACCTGCTGTCGTTGTTTTTTGGTCATATTTTAACTCTGAAGAAAACCTTTTTAATAAGATGACGCTTTTTTATTTGTGTGCGTCGTTATAAAAAAATATTCAACAGCACCTCCATTTTTTAGTTGTTTAAGTCACTTATCCACGACGGTTTTTTGTTACCGTCGTCTTTTTAAACACAACGACGGTTTTTTCTTCTACCGTCATCTTTTTCTGGTTGTCTTTTTCACTTTTTGTAGTAGTGGTTCCATTGTATACTCTGCCGTGATCTGTTGAGTTTCTACTGTAATCATGGTTGATAACTCTATTGTTGGTGCTGTTGATGCTGCTTCTGCAAATTTGTGTGTTTCTGACTCTATTCCAGGTAATGGCTCAAATACTTGGATAATTGACACTGGTGCTTCTGATCATATAACTTATGATGCTAAATTTTTTGATGAGTTGTCTAGTAACACCCGTGACCCATACATAACTAGTGCTAATGACTTGCTCTCTCCAAATACTAGCAAGGGTACAATCTCTCTCACTCCTACTCTGTCCTTGTCTCGTGAGTTATTAGTTCCCAATATCAATTGTTACTTGTTATCTGTTGGTCGATTACTTGATAATCTTAATACTTCTGCTACTTTCTATCCTACACATTGCTCTTTTAGGATCTTAAGACTCACGAGACGATTGGGCATGGTAAACGGATAGGGAGGTTATATTATTTGACCTTGCTTTTTTGCACCAGTTTGTGATCTTGTCGTTAATATTGTTCAAAGTTGCAGTGTCAAAGACAAACAACAAATTTGGTTATGGCATCGTCACTTGGGACACCCGTCATTTGGCTACCTTAAGCGTATGTTTCCATCTTTATTCCGCTCTTGTGATGAGTCCAATTTTTAAGTGTGAGACATGTATTTTGGCCAAAAGCCATCGCACTGTGTTTCATTTGAGTGATAGTAAAGCTGCTAAGCCTTTTTATTTAGTGCATTTTGATGTGTGGGGTTCGGCTCGCGTTACTTCAAACGGATTTCATTGGTTCGTCACATTTGTTGATGATTGTACCTGACTCACTTGGGTTTTCTTACTGAAAAATAAAAATGATGTTGCTTCAATCCTTCCAGAGTTTTGTAATATGGTGTCTACTTAGTTTTATGCTCGGGTCAAAGTTTTCTGAACTGATAACAGAGGCGAATATGTGAATAATACTTTGGCGTCTTTCTTCCCCACTCAAGGTATTATTCACCAAACGACAACCCCTTTTACCCCTCAACAAAATGGTGTGTCTGAAAGAAAGAACCGACAATTGCTTGAAGTTGCCTGCTCACTCATATTGGATATGTCTGTTCCCCATCATCTTTGGGGGCATACTGTTTTTTCTGCTCCCTATTTAATTAATCGTACTCCTAACCAGGTTCTTGATTTCAAGACTCCGCATGATGTGTTTGGTGACCATGTTTCCCCTGTCTCCATCTCCAAGTTGCCTCCTAAAGTTTTTGGGTGTTCTGCTCCCTATTTAATTAATCGTACTCCTAACCAGGTTCTTAATTTCAAGACTCCGCATGATGTGTTTGGTGACCATGTTTCCCCTGTCTCCATCTCCAAGTTGCCTCCTAAAGTTTTTGGGTGTGTTGCCTATGTTCATGTCTACTATCATTAACGGAGTAAACTTGATCCATGTGCTCTACGATGTGTCTTTATTGGTTACTCTTCTACTCAGAAGGGTTATAAGTGCTATCATGCACCTACCTAAAAGGTGCATGTTACTTTGGACGTGACTTTCCATGAAGAAGTGTCCTATTATATCTCTCCCTCATCTCCAATTCAAGGGGACGGGGGGAGTGAATTGGAGAGTCTTGGATTGGAGAATCTAGAACTTGAATGGGAGAATGATGTGTTTGAAGATACTGCTCTCAGGAAGGAAACGACCGGTCGCACTAAAGCAAGCGACCAGTCGCCCATATCTGAAAATGAAACATGTGGTCTCTGTGAAGAAACGACCAGTTGCCCCTTGGAACTTGACCGGTCGCCCATATATGGAGATGAAGCAGGTACTCTCGGTGTCGAAACGACCGGTGGCATTGAAGCAAGCGACCAGTCGCTTGTATCTGAAAATAGTGACAGTAATTCTTGTATGGATGAGTTCGATGCAATACCCCCTATGCCCTGCCAATGCCCCAATCTACTCATGATAGTGAATCAAGTGACGTAATTTCTAATGATCTATCTATATCAACTTATCAGTTACCCCCACAAACCACTCGTGGGAAACCTAAAGTACAATATTCTCCTGATATACATGCCAAGTATAAATATCCCATTAGCCATTATGTGTCAACTCATCGTTTGTCTAAGTCATGTGCATCATATTTGTGTCAATTATTTAGTGTATGTGTGCCAACTAAGTTGCATGATGCTTTATCTAACCCCAAATGGATGGATGCCATGAATGTTGAAATGGATGCCTTGAATAAGAATAAAACATGGGATTTAGTTCCTTTGCCACGAGGGAAGAAAGCTATTAGATGCAGATGGGTGTTTACTTTGAAGTACAAGGCTGATGGTTTCATTGATCGTTACAAGGCTAGATTGGTAGCAAATGGTTATACTTATACCTATGGAGTGGATTATTTGGAGACCTTTGCTCTAATGGCAAAGCTCAATACTGTGCGTGTACTATTGTCCCTGGTTGCTAATCGTGACTGGCCCTTATTGCAATTCGATGTCAAAAATGCATTTCTACATGGTGACCTCAAGGAGGAGATTTACATGGATCTTCCTCCTGGTATTCCTGTAACCTCTAAGGAGGGTGTTGTGTGTAAGCTGCGGAAGTCCTTATATGGATTTTGAGATATCTGAAAGTAACTCCTGGCAAGAGGTTAATGTTTTGCAAGTATGGTCATACAGATGTGGAAGGGTATACAGATGCTGATTGGGCTGGTTCAGCCACTGATAGACGTTCTACGTCTGGTATTTCATGTTTGTCGGTGGTAATCTTGTTACTTGGAGAAGTAAGAAACAAAAGGTGGTGTCTCGATCTAGTGTTGAAGCCGAGTATCGTGGGATGGCTCAAGGCGTATGTGAGTTACTACGGTTGAGGAAATTGTTGAGAGATCTTGGTTTTGGGCCACAGAAACCTATGGATTTATATTGTGACAATAAGGCTGCAATTGCAATTGCCCATAACCCGGTGCAACA